TATTTATTTATTTGTCTACTCCTCGTAAGTATAACCAAATGAACAATTTATTATAATTTGTTTTTATTCATAATTATGTTGTTGAAATAGCGACCAGTTAACAATTTAAAAATATCTATTTTTCAATGTTAAGGTAATGAACTTAAGTCACTACAAGGATCAAAAACAGAAGTATTTGTAGGGACATGCTTCAGCGAATCAGAAAAAATTCGATTTTATGAGAATCTTCAAATGAATGGATTTGGACTTACTGGATGTGCTCATGTCATGACTGCTAATTTGATATCTTATTGGTTAGGTGTTAATGATGAGTTTATTTTATTATTATTTACAAATTATAACCAGGGCTCGGAAGTTATAGCACTAAAATAATTAATATTTTTGTATTTTAATATGTTCTTTAAAACACCTATGTAATAGAATAAAAAACAAAAGTAAAAATAAAGTAAAGGGTAAAAGTGGTATCGGGTAATATCGGTGATCGGAGGCGGGTAAATGTTATTGTAGCATTTGGAAATGTTAAGGCCTAGTCTAACTAGTCTGTTGAGGTTGTGTTGGAGAATTTAGCAGTCCTATGACTAAATTTATTTTAAGAAAGAGATTCATATCGCCGGCGAATATAAGAAGTTAAGCATGGGAAAGTACTGGGGGTGCTGCATTTACAAATAGAAAAAAAAAAGTGAAGACAGGACAGAACTTTGTGGGACGCCTGATAAAGGAATGAACGGGGAAGAAAGTGAGTTTATGATTTTTACAGAAAGAGACCCATCTACTAAATAAGAGTACAGCCAAGATAAAAAAAAATGGGTTGTCAATGCCAAGAAGATGAAGAGTTTTGACCAGATGAGAGTGATCCATCAGGTCAACTATTTTTGAGATATCGGTATAGATAGTATCAACTTGGCTGTGGACACGGAAGGAGTTATATATGTAAGAAGATAGTACTAAGTTGCAAGTTGTGGTTGATTAGCTACGTCGGAATCCATGCTGATCGTCGGCAAGAATGTGATTTAGAGCTGGACGAATGGATTTGAAGATAAGAAATTTTGAAGTCAGAATTAAGTGAACAAACTTAATTTCGAAAATATAGTTTTTTGAAGATCTGTTTATGTGGATATTATAATATGTGTTACGTTAAATAACTCAATAATGTCAATATTATTATACATATTTCAAAGCCTAGTGGCCATATGTACCTGTTATTAACTAAGCGGTCGTGAGTTCAAGCCAGAATTCCGAAAATTATTTTTTTACAAAACCTCGTCTGGTAGGTAACAGGGAAATAACAAATGTATTTTGTTTCAAAAAATAAAATCGAGTGTAATGTATGTAGAATTTATTTTTTTTATAAGTTTTAAAATCGAATTACGAAAATCGTAAATATTACGGCCTTTTTAAAAACATGTGTAACCGAATTTCGTTCCGAATCTTTTTTCATTATCAATGGTTTATCATTTGTTTAAGGTATACATTCAATAACTTTACTTATGTATCTCAATGCTTCCCCACTACCCACCTAGAACAGTAGCCTCGCCCATCAGCTGGTTTTTTTTAAATAATATTAGGAGTATTCAATTTTGTGTTAGGAATATGTACAAAAACATGATGGTATAATAATAATAGGTCATTGAGATATCAATTTATGACGTGAATAAAATATATATAGAGAAGTTTTGATAAGCCGTGTTCTATATTATATTCCAATATACATAACAAAGTCTCAACAATGTATTTAATAAAATTGTAGCTAAATATAATTTTGTAAATTTCAAACTTCTGATAAACAAGATAAATTCACGCAAAGGTTAATGACTGATCGATCACTTCTAGATTCAAAGCATAGTGCGGGATCTAATAGTTTTACTATGATGAGCATTTTTGTATTTGTATTTTTCTGTCTTTAAACAACTTTTCGAAAAGAATTCTTTTGGTATTATATTATACATATTATATTTTATTATTGTAAACATATAATAAAATATTGTTCATAGTACAACACGTATAGGTAGTGGTTTTGTATTTATATTATCAAATAGAACTGCAATTATTACTATAAATATGAAAAACTTTTTTTTTTTTAAAGAATTGGTAGATAATAATAACTAAAAATATAACAGGGTATACATTTCAGTCAGGGAGGTACAGTAAATCTAAAATATACCTATATGAACAATCATCATACACTACGAAACGACGACAGCTATAGGAAGTAAACAAAATTACGTTTAAGAAATAACAAACAAACGGATATACATATACTCTACATCATAAGTAGGCTGATGTTGTAGATAAGACTGTAGAAAGTTGATAAGGAATAGGATGAAATAGGATAATTTAATTTATACACTAAAAGCAACGATAAATCGAGCAATAAAAAACAATTTTAAGTGGATTGTCTGACCATGGTATTATTAGTAATGTTTTATTTTTCTTGTTGCTTGGGTAACCTCAAAATCAACAAAAATAAAATCGATGAACCATCATTTGATTTGTTTTAAAAACTATCAAGGATTCAGAAAAGATCCGCATATTTCATAGTATAACGTCAAAATTTAGCCAAAAAAGAAATTTTCAAAAAAAAACTATAGACACGTCTAGTAAAACGAAAAGTTTCCTCGCTAAACACTCAGAATTTAATAAAATAAAATAAAATATATAACAGTAGATATAGTAGATAATATGTGTTTTTGACACTGTTACTGAAACGATACAAAATTGAAACCCAGTGACTAATGTGGAACAGTGTAGTAATAAATACAAATATGTATTAGTGATGACGTGATATTTATGTGATTGTTCGAATTAGAGACACTGAACAACGTTGACGGTACAGCAGTCATTGCTTATGGATTTTGTTGTACAATAATGGCGTTGAATGACAACTGACGTTGAAACCATCATCGCATTCGCACATTTAGTAAATCAAATCTCCGCCTAATGCACACACATTAAAGGTCCTAAGACGGTGATTATTGCAGCGTCCGTGCGAAATAATATTACAAGAATGAATAAAAATAATCTCGTCAATGTCAAAAATGTGGGTACTAATAGAACCGTGAAAAAATGTGATGACAATGTTTTATGTCAGGCGTATACGATATAAATGAACACGCAAGAAAATTACCGCATAGTGTCTGAAAAGATAATATTATTCTGATCGATTTCGACCTACTCTTTTTTTTTTCTATAGACGTGTTATTGTTCTGATTTTTATTGTGCAATTTATAATAACATATAATATATAAAAAGATGCGCCAAGCGTTACTTATATAGTTGTATATATTATATAATTAAGATTATTTATGACGATAAAAATAATATTAATACCTGATAGGTATAATAAAAAAAAAATCATGATTATTTGTTAATGAAAATTATTATAATCACAATGAGTTCAACATTATTAGATTGCCAGTCATGGCTGACAATATTATATGATGATTGGGTATAGGTAATGTGCGTCATAGTAGACGTAGACGGTCTTATTTTTTTTGCTCGTCCTATTAAAATAAATATCCATCGCTAAATTAAACATATTAATATTATTCATTAATTGGTTATTAGTTTTTACGCGTTATGTTTATTGAAATATTATATAACAATAGGTACGGGCGTATATCATTTGCGCGTTACTATTATTTTCTTCGACCTTTTTTGCAAGACAATTGAGTACCGTTCGATTTTTGGGTCATACGTCATTTGCGTGTCGTCCGTTTACCTTTCGCTAAAATATCGTACATTGTTTGCTTTGCGAATCAATCTATTTAACAATAGAAAGATTGAAAGGAATTAAGAGCATCCAAATATTGAAATTTTTTCCCAAATTTCATCTTAAAACCCGTACGTTATATCTTATTATATTTTGTATTTGATTATAAAATAAGATATTTAAAAATACGGAAATACTTCGTAAGTTGGACTGCAGTGGTATGCTCAGGAATTTTCAATGGGAGGAAGGAGCAAATAAGAATCGTGAATAAATCGTAAAATCGTCTTCTCTACTTGACTCGACATAAGGAATTGTCGATTTAAAAACCGGTTCCTAAAAAAAAGGACAAATTCTCCTCGTAACTTTGTTGAAATATACTCATTTCTCGATATTAGATCGCTTATATTTTTTTTGTATTTTAAGCCAGTAATGGGAGATGAACCCTTATAACTCTTAACCTACCCTCCCTGCGCACGCCACTGCGTGGGAGGGCAACTGTTGTAAGTTTTGAAGTTGGGAAGGTAGAAGAGAAATTTAATTTTTATCCGTAAGCAATGATTACCCATGACTACCGACATAAAGATTCTGAGCGGAGTTCGGTATACCGTATGGTAAAATGATTACATATGCATAAAATATATTCTTTAATAATATTTGCTTAATATTGTACCCAATTTCCCTTTTTTTCCGGTTATTCCCATTTGTTGGGAAAACTCCTGCAAAATCAAAAATGACCTCTTTAAAGACCCATCCCAGTCAGATTTCCTTTTATAGAAAGTGCCATCATAGGTGGAAAAAAATTCACAGATAAAAAAAGTAAATAAAAAAAATAAACATCATTGTGAAACCAATACATTGTTCGCTCTATTCAGAATCTAAAAATACGGACATACTTCACACGATGTGTAGACCATTTTTGTGGGTAAAAAGTTCGGAATATATGATATAAAAAAAATTACATAACGATAAACCATTGCTAACGAAAAACGATTAGGAGTGAAATTTCTTTTCACAAATTTTTCCGTTTTTCCTACATTTTTCTCAATAATTATGAAAATATTGCTACGTTCCGAATCTCAACCAAAATAAAAAATAACAGAAACGTAGATTGCTTAGATTTTTCTGTGTTTTTAATAAAAATGCAAGGAAGATCAATAACCAATCTTCTCAATGCATCTACTAGAAAACAATTTTTACCAGAAAACGACCCTAAAATTGATGATCGGAACGAGATTTCTAGTAGAAAAATTTATTTACAGACAGAAAAAAAAACATACACATCATAGTAAACCAATTGTTTCACTCAAAATTTAAAGCTAGGTTTACATGTTGTGAATCCAATGTGTCAAGCAAGGTATACAAGATTGCCTTACAAAACAGCTGCTTCAATATTTGTAGTATGGCATATCAAAGTGAACCATAAGTCTATCCAAGGCAAGGGTGGAGAGTAGCAACTATATATTTGACAGTATCATCGATTGCACCTACGAAATACGTGACACAAAGGAAAACAACTGTAAGTAATAGAACTTTGTTACTAGAGTCAAATTTTCAACTTGTCGACATACAGCCGACTTGTATCGTTACCTTATTTTTTTTTTTTTCATAATTGATTTAAAATATTTATGGTTTGCCAGAGTTACTCACACGTTTTGACCATATCTACCTCCTAACCATGCTTTAATTCACGGTCTACTTCCCCTCCCATCTTTCAGATAAACAAATTATTCTTTTCGATAATCTATGACCTTCCGAAAATAATGCAGAATTTATCGAAAAAAGTTTCATCAAAATAGATAAAATAGTTCTTAAGATTAATGCTCACATACAGACGGAACGGAGGTTGAAAGTTAAAACCTTCTCAAGCCACCTCCTTGACTACAATACTAACACATTTATTATTTTACCCATTACTTTAGTCAACATAATAATATATTCAAATGCCGTGGTTTACACCAAATTTTAGTTGAGTTATAATTAATAAAATAAACTGCTCTTGCGCGAAGAAACACGTAGGTATTCACATTTATTTGAAATAGGTAATTTGTTAAATATGTACTTAACTTATAATAGTGCGGTATCCTTCATGTTTAAATTGTTACCTTTATTATAAAAAATTAAAGGTTAAGAGTTACCGTTATTGATTAGCTGCAGCTACATTATTATAGAAACATTTTACCAGATGAAGAAATTTCCGATTTCTCAACCATTAAACTAAAAATACAAATACGAGAGGAAAAAAGAATACCATAACTATTATTATTTCATATTAATTATAACTCTTAAATGCCGCAATAATATAGAATAATTAACAATTACGGAATAATATGTTAACGCAAGCAATATTATATTATGTTATTATGAAAACGGTCGACATTGTAAGTGCGTATTTTATATTGATATGTAATAATAATAATATTTAGTATTAAACTATTATATGAAAGTACCAATATTATATTTAAGACGTTGAAAATTAATAATATTTTCTTCTTCGCATTGGTTTCGTCCGCGAATAATTAATATCCTTGAGATATATGATGTGTACAATATAGATGCTTACCTATAGTATTGTTTTAAAATCAACCGTAACAACGTCTTGTAATAATAATAATTAGTGTAATAACAATAATAATAATGAGATCTTAGGTATATTATTGTGTATTATTTGCACATATTATTATTATTGTTATTATCAATATCGGAGATAACGGATTTATACATATATATATATATACATATAGAATTTATGACCTTAGCTGATGTTTTGTATTCTATAAATCCGTTTTGCACACTTCCTTTCGACATTTTGCAAAAAGTCCGCCGGTCCATCGGCGTTTAAGATTTATTTCCAACAATAATGATTTATTAGATCACACGGCTTTCAGTTTAAACAAACATTATATAAGCGTTCAAATTGCATGGCCGTTGGATAATGATTTTTGATTTTTTTTTTTTTTTTATAATGTTATACAATAATAAAATAATTATTATGATTTTCACTTTTATACTATAGTATATTTTTTCGTATCACATTGGTATGATTAAACTTTCGCACACAAAATAAAAAAAATCAAGGGTCTCCACTTTCCATTTATCTCGGGTGATGGGTCGGCAATGACTCATTGTAAAATTTGTTTGGCATATGATTAGATCTGGTAGATAAAACATTATATTTAATCTGCTCGTTTGTTGTCTTTGATGTTAAAATAATAGTCAACACCACGGAAATATAGATTAAGTAACTAAAAATATTTCAATTTTGTTATCTAAACAAATTTAATTTTTCCCTGAGATTTAAATTATTAATTATTATTAAACTTGCTAATTATTACGCAATTAGGTGGGGATTCATGAAATATTGATTTCATTAGTTCACTGCGGTCACAATAATATATTTTTTGACATCTATGTATAGAAATTTGATTTATAAATCCTCAGCATTACATTTTAAAGCTTCTAAAAATAGCTTGTAGAGTATATACAATATATATTGAATCCTGTATACTTAACTGACACCATTCTAAACCTCCAGTTTTTAAAAACAATAATGTTTTAAAAATATTAGGTACCTCGTCTGATAAATGCTAATATAATTATTGTCCCCGGGAACATTCAAACATCAAAAATCATATTTTAACCACAAAATTCAAACAAGCCAGTGTGAGCACCTTATTGAATACGGCACATAGAAGTTTGGTAATATACCACCATGACAAAACTGAACAAAATAACACCAAAAAAAAAAATCTGATCAAAAAATTTCGAACTAGATCAAATTGTCCTCACTGGATCAAAATGTTTTCAAAACGCAACAAATTGTCCCTTAAAATGTTTTAGAATTAAAAAATAAAACGGTTGTTTAAATAATAACCGGTTTTACGTGAATAATTTTGGTAATGATTCAGTTCTAATTAATAATTATTAAGTAATTTGGTTTTTGTTTTAAATTCGGAGCAAAGCGAGGTTCTATTGGTTCACCTTTTTTTTTTTTTTTTAATCTTAGAGCAATTTTTCTACCAGATATCTTCCTCTAATTGAAAAATTTGTTGGATTTTGGATCTAGTTGTAGTATTGAAGAAGTATTTTTTGGTTTTTTTTTAAACAGTTTCCATAATATAATTGAAAAAAGAATGGAAAATGACTTAGAAGTTTACGGAATTAATAGTTTAAACAGAAAACTTTTATTTGCTTTTCGATGCAGAACTGGCGGTTTTTGATCTTTTTATAGACATTTTAGAAAGGTTTTTTACGCAATTTTTATTTGGTAGGTGTTACTTGGATATTATTGTTTGATCACACTGAAATGATTAATAATTTAATAGAAGGTCAAATACGAGCATAAGTTATCATTAGTGGTAACAAAAAAGTAGTATCCTGCAGTAACTTTTTTTATAAATCAAATTACGTAAATATTACGATGTTACAAATCACGTATACTCCAGCTTCCCTCAGAAACGTTACTCATTGGAAATAGTTTATCGTTGCCCACAGTTTCAAACTAAATACCTTTATTTAACCTACCTTCCCAACTTCCCAATTATAACATACATTGAGAATTTTAATTGAACAATAGATAGTTTTTAATAAATGAATAACATTGTCTTCGGTATGTATGAATAATGAGCATTTCCCAGGAATTTGTAATGTTGTGTGTAATATTTATGATGCTTATACGATGTTTATATGCTTGGCGTTTAGATGTCGTTCATGGTTATTACAAATTTTAATATACGAATACAATTTAGAACTAACTTTTCTATTGGCTAATTTATTTCTATTTTTTTACTAAGAAATAAAAATTATTGTTATTTAATATCGGCAATTATAAGTTTTTTATTTAATCACATTATTTTAACGTGCGAGAAGATAGCTACACAACTACGACCAAATTTTGTAATCATTTCGCAAATTAATTTTCAGAATTTGCAGATCATTGCCAAGCCCGATTTAAAGAAATAAAATGGAGAGGCCAACTTCACGCATTCACATCCCCTTTTGAGGAACGCGCGTCAAAATTATACTACCATATTGCGAATCAGTTTTCAGAATTTGCAAATCATTTCCCAGCTCGGTATAAAATAAATTACATTTTTGAAACGTCAT